CCCGGGGGCGCCCCGTCCCCGTCCGGCCGCGCCGCCCTCTTACCGACGCACTGGGCACCGTCGGGGCCGGGCCGGTAGCCGCCCGGGCACACGCAGCGGTAGGAGCCGGCCGTGTTCTCGCAGTGCCCCGGCGCGCACGGCTGCTCGGCGCACTCGTCGATGTCTGCACGGACACGGGGACGTGGAGGTGGCTGCGGGGCCACGGGGCCACGGGGACACCGAGGTGGCTGCGGGGCCACTCCGGGCACACGGGGGCACGGGGACACCGAGGTGGCTGCGGGGCCACTCCGGGCACACGGGGGCACGGGGACATCGAGGCGGTTGTGGGGCCGCCCCGGGCACATGGGCACACGGGGACATTGAGGCGGCTGCAGGGCCACCCCGGGCACACAGGGACACGGGGACATTGGGGTGGCTGCAGGGCCACCCTGGGCACACAGGGACACGGGGACATTGAGGTGGCTGCAGGGCCACCCCGGGCACACGGGGACATCGAGGCGGCTGTAGGGCTGCCCTGGACACACAGGGACACGGGGACATCGAGGCGGCTGCAGGGCCACCCTGGGCACACAGGGACACGGGGACATTGAGGTGGCTGCAGGGCCACTCCGGGCACGCGCGGACACGGGCACGCGGGCGCGCAGCGCCTCACCCTGGCACTCGGTGCCGGCGGCGCGGTAGCCGGCGTTGCAGACGCAGCGGTAGCTGCCCACCGAGTTCTCGCAGCGGCCGTTGGCGCAGGGCCGCGGGCTGCGGCGGCACTCGTCCACGTCTGCGGGCGCCCGCGCCGCGCGCGGGCACACGGCGCGAGGACAGGCAGGTGGGTGCGCGGGACGCCACGTGGGTGCGCGGGACGACAGATGGACAGATGGATGGACAGACGGGTGCACAGGACGACAGACGGGTGCACGGGACGACAGATGGACGGATGGATGGACAGACGGGTGCACAGGACGACAGACGGGTGCACGGGACAACAGATGGACGGATGGATGGACAGATGGGTGCACGGGACGACAGACGGGTGCACGGGACGACAGATGGACGGACGGATGGACAGACGGGTGCACGGAACGACAGACGGGTGCACGGGACGACAGATGGACAGATGGATGGACAGACGGGTGCACGGGACGACAGACGGATGCACGGGACGACAGATGGACGGACAGATGGACAGACGGGTGCACGGAACGACAGATGGGTGCACGGGACGACAGATGGACGGACGGATGCACAGACGGGTGCATGGACAGATGGGCGCGTGGACAGGTCGGTGCAAGGACACATGGATGGATGGGTGCACGGACACGTGGGTGCACGGACACATGGGTGCACGGACACATGGGCGCACGGACAGACGGGTGCAAAGGAGAGACGGACGCAGACGGACAGACACACGGACACGCCCCTCCGCTGAGGCGCCCCCCTGCCCGTCGCCGTCCCCCCTCACCGATGCAGTGGGTGCCCTGGGTGCTGAGCCAGAAGCCGGGGTGGCAGAGGCAGGTGTAGCCGCCCTGGCGCGGGACGCAGCGCCCGGGGCCGCACACCTGCGGGTTGCGCTCGCACACGCTGCCGCCGGCCGCTGCGGAGAGAGCGCGCGCCAACGGGGGGGCCCGCTCGCAACGGCGCAGGCTGCAGTGCACGCAGCGGTGCATGCATGCAACCCCGCGCGCAGCAGCCTCGCGCGCAACCTCACCCCGCAGCAGTGCGAGCGTGTAACCTGGTGCGTGCAACCGTGCATGCAAGGAACCGCGCCTGTTCCACGCTGCATGCATGCCAGCGCACTTGGGGCGTGCAAGCTCGCCCGTGCAACGGGCACGCGACTACGCGCACTCGGCGAGCGCATGCAGCCTCACAAGCCACGGTGCACGCGCGCATCTACGTGCGCTCGGCTGCACCTGCATGCACGCATGTCCGCAAACAGGACGCATGCAACGGTGCACGCATGCAACGGTGCCCCTTGCTTGCTGCAATTGCTGCACGGCCGCAGCTGCACATGCATCGCTGCACGAGTTGGAGGAGCGCGGAACAGCCCCCTTGGCGTGCAAACTTGCAGCCCCCATGCCCATGCCCATGCCCATGCCCACCTACCCGGGCCCGTCCCCTCGCGGGGGGCCGGCGTGGGGACGGGCGGCGGGGGGCCCGGCGTGGGCCGAGGCACCACGAACACCTCCGGCACGGGCGGGGGGAACGTGGCGGGCGGCGGGCGGCCCGGCGGGGGTCTGCGCCCGGGGGCTGCGGGGCGACAGCAGCGGCGTGAGGACGTCCCCGATGGCGCCGGGGGGGACACGGGGATGGTGCCGTGGGGGACACGGGAACAGTGCCGGGGGGGACACGGGGACGGTGCCAGGGGGGACACGGGGACGGTGCCGTGGGGGACACGGGAACGGTGCCGGGGGGGACGGGGATGGCGCCAGGTGGGGAAGGGGAC